CGAGCCCCGCATCAGGCTCCCTGCTCGGCGGGAAGCCTGCTTCTCCCTCTCCCACTCCCCCTGCTTGTGTTCCCTCTCTAGCTCTCTCTCTCTCTGTCAAATTAAAAAAAATCTTTAAAAAAAAAAACAACAAGTGAACTTCCCCAAGTTTTATATTTCTAATGCTGTAAACAGATAAGCCAGCACTTTTTTGTCTGGAGACTACTAATTAAGATAAATTCTTTCTTTCTTTTTTTTTAGGATAAATTCTTTCTTAAGTATTTAGTCTTGGAAGCAGAAATTATTTAAAAATTAATTGGGGCACCTGGCTGGCTCAGTCAGTGGAGCATGCAACTCTTGATCTCGGGGTTCTGAGTTCAAGCCCCACCTAGGGTGTAGAGCTTACTTAAAAAAAAGTTTACAAAATAAAAATTATTAATTGATCATTTTCTGAGTAAGGGAATTTTCATATTCACTTGCCTCGTATTAAATATATGTTAGCGTGTTGGGGCCTCACTAACAACTACAAGTTTTTGGTTAACTTCAAAGCTCTAGCCTATAATCTATCCAGGTTGTGTGTCTTCCCTTCAATTATGAATGCATAAGGTAATACTTTATAGTTGGAAAGCATAGCATTAAAATAGTGAATCAGTAAAAATGTTACCTTCAATTTTTGTAATCTCTACAGATTGCAATACTGTGATGAGACCGTTCCTGTAACTTTTGATCCACACACACAGTTTCTTGGTCCTCAGAAGAAAACAGAGGAAGTTCAAAGAGACATTGGATTTTGGTGTCCAAGGCACCTTAAGACTTCCGGGGGACAAGGCTATAAGTTTCTGGGAATTGACCAGTGCGCACCTCCATGCCCTAACATGTATTTTAAAAGTGATGAGCTAGAGTTTGCAAAAAGTTTTATCGGGATAGTTTCAATATTTTGTCTTTGTGCAACTCTGTTCACATTCCTTACTTTCTTAATTGATGTTAAAAGATTCAGATACCCAGAGAGACCAATTATATATTACTCTGTCTGCTACAGCATCGTGTCCCTGATGTACTTTATCGGATTCTTGTTAGGTGACCGCACAGCGTGCAACAAAGCAGATGAGAAGCTAGAACTCGGGGACACCGTCGTTCTGGGCTCTCAGAATAAGGCTTGCACTGTTCTGTTTATGTTTTTGTATTTTTTCACAATGGCCGGCACAGTGTGGTGGGTGATTCTTACCATCACGTGGTTCCTGGCGGCAGGAAGAAAATGGAGTTGTGAAGCCATTGAACAAAAAGCGGTATGGTTTCATGCTGTTGCGTGGGGAATACCGGGTTTTCTGACCGTTATGCTTCTTGCTATGAACAAAGTTGAAGGAGACAACATTAGTGGCGTTTGCTTCGTCGGTCTTTATGACCTGGATGCTTCCCGCTACTTTGTGCTCCTGCCACTTTGCCTTTGTGTGTTTGTCGGACTGTCTCTTCTTTTAGCTGGCATTATTTCCTTAAATCACGTTCGGCAAGTTATCCAGCATGATGGCCGGAACCAAGAGAAACTAAAGAAATTTATGATTCGAATTGGGGTCTTTAGTGGCCTGTATCTTGTGCCCCTGGTGACACTTCTAGGATGCTACGTCTATGAGCAAGTGAACAGGATCACCTGGGAGATAACCTGGGTCTCCGACCACTGTCGTCAGTACCACATCCCATGTCCTTATCAGGTAAAGAGCATTTGTATTAGTTTGCTATCTTTTTTAAAGATTTTATTTATTTATTTGAGAGAGAGAGAGAGAGAGAGTGCACAAGCCAGTGGGGATGGGCAGAGGGAGAGGGAGAAGCAGACTCCCCGCTGAGCAGGGAGCCCGAGACACGGGGCTCGATCCCAAAGCCCTGAGATCATCACCTGAGCTGAAGGCAGACGCTTAACCAACTGAGCCACTCAGGGACCCCTATATTAGTTCACTGTTTAACTTTAACATAGAGGATGTTCCCTGGAAGCACACTTGAACTAGTCATGAACATGACCTTAGATTTCCCATAAGAAAATCCAATAGACAGAGGGAATGATTCCTTGGGCATCAGAAGAAACTGGGGTCGGGGCACCTGGGTGGCTCAGTTGTTAAAGCATCTGCCCTTGGCTCAGGTCATGATCCCAGGGTCCTGGAATCGAGCCCTGCATCGGGTGGGCTCCCTGCTCAGTGGGAAGCCTGCTGCTCCCTCTCCCGCTCCCCCGCTTGTGATCCCTCTCTCGCTGTGTCTCTCTCTGTCAAATAAATAAATAAATAATCTTTAATTAACAAAAAAAAAAGAAGAAACTGGGGTCCGTGCCTCAAGAGTTCTTTCCTCAAGTTTAGGCTTTGGTTACAATAGTTAAAATGCTTCCTAAAGTTAAATTTGGTTGCAAAGGCAGATAAATAATAATGAGGAACAGAAACAGAAGAACAGATCTGTCAATTTCTGCTGAATTGGGAGTTGTTTTTAATTCTTCAGTTAGTGGGGGGGAAACTTACTTGGGTATATTGAATGTGATCGTATCATAATTTTTGTTTCATATATATGCTTATAAAAACAGAACTTATTTTACTGTATTGTATTAATACTTATTTCACTCTGACCAACCAAATTTTTTTAAAACATAAACAACAATGCATAAAGACTCTAAAATAGTATGTTGTTCCAGTGAATTTAAATGTAATTTTTTGGTAGATTCTCATGAAGCAAAGTAGATGAATACTTAAAGCCAGATATTTTGGCAATTACAAGAGGCTGCTACACTTACAGGGAAAAAATGCTGAGAAATCAGGCCAAGATTTAGGATGTGCTTCCTAAATATATTTAAGTGTTTTCCTTTTCTAGCTATATATTTTGATACACAGATAAGTTCTTCATTCACAACTTTAGTGAAGAATATACTTAATGCAGCACTAGTCATTATATTATGCTATGTCAAACATTTTATAATAAAACAGACTGAAGATTTATACTTTTTGTTCAAGTTTTACATTGACTATATAGACTTCTTTCCACTGAAAATGTATCACTGAAATTTTTATTATTCACTTTTCTTTGTAGGCAAAAACAGAAACTCGACCAGAACTGGCTTTATTTATGATAAAATATCTGATGACATTAATTGTTGGCATCTCTGCCGTCTTCTGGGTTGGAAGCAAAAAGACATGCACGGAATGGGCTGGGTTTTTTAAACGAAATCGTAAGAGAGAGTAAGAAGCTATTGAATTATCTGATGTTGTTTTAAATTAAATAGAACAAAAACCAAGGAACTATTCAAGTCATTATCGTACTTTCGTATGTCAACTGTTAGGTCAAATTTGGAAATCTTTTTCCTGGGGAAATATACTTTATTTTGTTTGGCATTCATTAAAATAGTCTTTGACCTATACTATTCTCTTGAAATATGAATGAAAGTTTTGTAAAGTGTTTATTTTCTTTACACAGCTTATATTTAATATTATCACTGCTATCACTGGATTCATTATTTTGGGTGCAGCATTTTAAATTTTAATTATCAGTGATAAAAGATTAAATGGGATCAAATATATGTAAGGAAATCTATAGAGTATGATTCAAATATATTGTATGATCATTGTTTACTACCTTTAAATTTTATTACACATAGTGCTGGCTTAAAATGTCACTTATTGGGGCGCCTGGGTGGCTCAGTCATTAAGCGTCTGCCTTCGGCTCAGGTCATGATCCCAGGGTCCTGGGATCGAGCCCCACATCGGGCTCC